CTGGTTTCGATTTTGGTGTGCACAATTTTACCACCTACGGAGACGTACAAATCCGCGTCACCTGTCATAAAGCGACAGACCAAATATTTTTAAGCGCTAAGAATTTGAAGCTTAAGAAAACTGATATACGAGTGCGAGATGCTAGCGATAACGGGACGATTTTAATATTGGGCTTGAACAGCTATCAGCATGAGCAGGACGATATTCACGTGATTGAGCTGATACTCAGTTACAAGCTTCGCCCCGGGAACGATTATTACATCGACTTAAAATACCACGGCGTGATCAGCGATGTTTGGAGCGGCGGTTTATTCAAAACTGGATATGAAAGCAACGACAGCCAAACAAGGTCAGGTGACGGTCACTGTTTTGTGGCAGTCAGCAGCTACATAAGCATTCCATTTCCGCGTCATGTTTGCTTGTTGCTGTATTCCATACGCACTGATTTACTCTCGAATTCTCTCCCTGAACCTCCCTGATCCAGATTAGCCTCATCTAACTTCGAAACTGCTTTACCGATAATGATACCTCTGTTTGCTCATGAGTATCCATGTGGAGATCTGAATCTGCTAGTAATGCTTGCAGTGAAGGATAGACCTGAGTCGGTGTACTCGCAAAGCTTCCGCATGTGCCCGCAACTTCGATTTTGCCTCAGTTTTGATTTTGTGCACATTTCTTCCTTTTTTTTTGCACATTAATGTTCGCCCATGTAAGGCATCTTCTTTTTATTTACAGCAAAAATATATAACTAGCCTCAGTATTTCCGATCCAATTTATACAACTCTTTGGACAACTCCCATATCTCTGTAAGAGTTCATTTTGAGCCCAGTAACACAGTCCGCTGGAAGTTGAAGAAATATCAGCTGAAATTAATCCCACAAGACGTGCAGCTCAATTTTTGCTCGCTGCAATGAGATGCTCTGCAATTGCCTCCTAATGCCGATGCAGGTTACGAGATGCGTTCTGGCAATAAACATCACTCGGCGATGGAACGCTGGAAGGTATTGAACTTAGCCGGAGGGTATAAAATTTACCTTGAAGAATTTGAGTATCTGTTAGAGAGAAGTAAAATTCTCCAAATGAACAGAAAAAACTTAACTAGAGACGCAAGATTTAGCAAAAAGGAGGTGAAATCAGCTCGAAATTGCTAAAATGCGTAAACTTAGGTTAAAAGAGATAAATTCAGCACTAAAGCATTTGAAGCTGCCATAATTTGTGCTAATGAAACAAAAACAGGGAACGTGGTTGAGCATCTTTTTATGACTTCTTTTTATGGGAAGAAGGGCTCGCAGCGCACAACCGCTCGGTGTACGTAAAAAGCCAGAGAATGAGTAAACTGAAGTGGTGTTTCAAATTCCATTAGATCTGTATGCGGTTTTGAGAATCTCGAATGATTTGTCACCCTTCGAAATGACACACTTCTTATTTTCAGTTTTTTGCATTTATTTA